GTCGGGTTTTTTGTATATCGGTTTAGTGTGTTAGATGTAGTAAGAGGATTTTGTCCAAGACAATTATGTTAAAAAGTTATGTATTTACATAAGGCTTCCAAATAATTTCTACAATTTTTTGTATATTTCCACCCTACTGTATGTGGCTGCTTTTTTTTTTTATATCAATGTGCAACCAGTTTCTTGAAAAAGAATCTACCAGGGTGGTAATGTTTGGACAAGTAAAGATGAATGACTATGACGATTAAATTGCATAGGACTGTGAAAAAGGATTGATAACATTGGAACTGATGTTATTAACATCATTTTAAATTCAAAACACTAATACATACTGTGTGTAAATGTTAATATTGCTTTTTAAGATATAAATTTGTCCCCAGATTTTTAGCTAAACTCTTCTGTTCTGCCACGATAAGAGCATATTGTGAGCTGGTTGACTTATATGGATCGTGCCCATAGGGTAGAGAGGAGATCAGTTTATTCACTTTTGTCAGACTTACAAGGCTCCCTTAGAGGTCACGCTGTGATTCTTACATAGCCCAGGGTATGGATCTCAAATTTCAAGGCTAAGGAGAAAATCCATTTGCCAACTCCCTATTTGTGGCTGCAAAGAAATGTTCCCCCTTCTCAATATCCAATTACTAAATTATGATGGATTTTAAGCATTATTTTCTGCAAGGCATTACTCAACCCAGTCTATCACAATTTACATAGCTTAACGAAGCACTGAGCTTTTAATAACGTGAAGAAGTGCAATAGAGAGCTGATGTTTATTTGAACTGGCTGGGCTTTTGCGGATAATGATTATGAAGTGAGCATTGGGAGCAGTGTCTGTGAGAGAAGAGGGGGAGCTATGCTGCGTGAAGCAGGCAGATGGTTCGCTGGACAGTCTGTTGATAATGGCAACATTAGTCTACTGGGAAGCAACATTATGCTCAAGGTCAATGGGAGCTGAAGAATGGAGGAACATTATGACATGCTTCTTATGTCCTGAAATGTGATCGTTCTGCAAGAATGTTAAGATATTTAATATGACCTCAGTGATCTGCGCAAGGCTGTTGATTTAGTCTTCAATTTCAAAAGGGTAATTTGTGTTAATAGACCATAAAAGGTACCTTATTTATTTAGCTTTTTTGGTATGTGTTTTATTCTGTATCCTTGTAGCATTCAAATCAGGTTTAAAGGTTCACTAATTAGCTTTCTTTTTACCTATGTGTATTTTTGATCTCCATCTTTTTTATCTATTTACACAGGTCATTACCCTTTATTTGCATACATTTAAGTTTATGGTATTTGCATAAAATGCTTCACACACCTGAACTACCCACTTGAACATAAAACCTATGTACAGTTTGCATGGTATTTTATAATAAAAAAAAAAAATATATATATATATATATTAAGTTAAGTTCACTAAAAATGCTCTAAAATTATATTCATACCTGTGAGCATTTTTGCATGTAACAATCACAAATCTCAATGCATTTTATAGGGGGTTATTTGAGAGACAATTATAATAACAATTAATTACCTTTTCGTGTTTTTGTTTATGTTCTTTTTTTCATTAATTTGACTAATGAAAGGGATTGGAGGTCTTGTTCAGTGAGAGGCTGGAAACCTACACACCAAAGTTCAGATTTCAGACCCTGATTAAAATGACAGAGGGGAAAAAAAACAAGGACTCGTCCCTGGAATTTTAAACAAGTGAGTTAATGAAGGGGATATGTATCCGTTGAAAAAAAAAAAGAAATTGGTCTGTTTTTCTATAGAACTAGACAACTTAAAAAAAAAAAAAATATATATATATATATATATATAGGAATTAACAAGAATTTTTTTTTCTTAAAATAGATGAAAAGGTTCAGTTTTTTTCTGAATCAATGAGATAATTTGTTTAAAAAATAAATGTATTAGCCCTGTTTCTATACATGTTCGAGATGGAAACGGGGGGAAAAACACATTTAAAAAGTAGTGCCATTGTGCAGGTGTCTTTGTGAAGTCGACAAACTAGTAGTGATCGCATCCTATAAGAGAATTTCCTGTGTCTCAATACCAAAAGAAAGTAAAAATGAATTCAACTCGACAAACATGACATGTTGTGTCATGTTAATAAAAAAAACAGACCAATTTCTTTTTTGTGTAAGTGAATGCAATCCAAACGTATCACAAGGTTTTGATTGCAAAACAGGGAACAAAAGGATTTTCTAAAGCAAAAGTTGAGTCCTTTTTCCTTTGCAAAAAGTATAAACACAAAATAGATCACCCAAAACTAAAGCCTCAAATTTCTCTCACTTGAATGGATACATGACTTTCAATGTCCTTTAAAAGTAAATGTCTACAGAATAAATGTCCTTTCTTGGAATTAAACATGCAGTGGTTTCTTTTTGAAAAGATTTACTTTCTTTATTTATTAAAATTTTCACTATGTTTAAAGAAGTAGAATATGACAACAAAAAAAAAATCTGTGAGAAAGCTCCTTAGCCTTCTCCCACTCATAGCCAGCAATTTTCAAAAATAAATCACACATGATCAAAAACAACCAATCATGAGGAATCTTGTAGCAGTGTTAATCAAGCTCATGTATGCACTGCTCACATACCTCCTCTGCGCAACATGTTCTGTCAAAAAAGCCTCAGATTTTCGGTGCGTTTCAGCTGTGCATCTTGTAAAGCATAGCATTGTCTCATTTCTGCCAGTGAATGTGTCATAGTTGGTTATCTGCTATCATCGGTAGCCCACCTTACAAACCTCCACATTCACAGCAGGCCACGCTGTGGGGAAGGAGCTGTTGAAGAAATGCTGTAGGCCAGCGTATCAGAGTGAAATGGAGGTCCCTGTGTGGTTTGCCTGTTCAAATGTTCAGGTTAAGTCTACAGTTTTCTCAGGTCTCCCTACTGCAGCTTTAGCCTTCTCTGAGGGCTCAGGACTAAGCTCTATCCATTTTTCTACCAGCTCTGACCAGCCTTCCCATTCTTGCATAAAAAAGAGATATTCGACCAGGGGACTTATTCCACATGCCATTGTGTGTGGATGTGTCCCCCTTTATAGCTTGAGGGAATCGGCAAATTGGAATATTGTTCTGGTCAGTGAAGTAGAATTGAGCGCTTGGTTTATCACTGTTAGCGGTTATGGTGCTAATAAAATTCAAAACAGGTGCACTAAAGATTTATTGATAACCCCTCCAAAAACACGGTTAGGGTTTTTCAGATGAATTCAAATGAGAATTTTTTTCCCCTACTCCCTTTTTTCTGTTTTTTTTTCAGTGTCACTAGTAGCATGAGGCAATAGCTGGACTCTGCAGAGGTTGTACAGGAAGGCCAACTCCACCCGGACAGCACATCAGTTGTTGCCAAAAGATCTGGAGCATCTAGCAGTGCAATAGAAAGTGCATGGAGGAGATTCCAGGAAACTGCAGTTACTCAGGAACTAGATGAGACCATTTGAGGTCCTTAACCCTTCTTTTTTTCCCCTCATTGTTGAAGATTCATTTCTTTTTATTTTGCTTTCTGTTTTGTTATAACTGCTTGTTCTTTACACTCGTTCACCAGTTTCACAAAGCCTAAGTGAGCTAGAATGATATTCCAAAGCTGAAGGCTGAAGGAGAAAGGCAGGATACTGAGTCTTGAGACTTTGGAAGAGGTACCTTCTGGCTTGGTGTGGTATTTTTGGATAAACTGGAAAACCTTTAGTAGTTCTTTTCCCCAAAGCTGTTCACACAAGCTATGGTCAAGAGGACAGCCTAAAGACATAGAAGGTGAAGACGTCCTCTGCAATGTGTCCTTCCATCAATGACGTTAAACATGACTAGAATAAATTCTGTTAATACTTAAAAGATGTTTCCTTCTTTTTGTACAGTATCTGAGAAACATTTCTTCTTGGATTCGAACCGGGTGATCAAAATTGTGATCCAACACCATCAACAGGTTGTGGGACCATGTGGGAGCAACAATAAATTACCAAACCCATTTGAATTGGTGCCATGAGATTTCAGCAAATTGGGCTAATAATTTTTTTAGTAGGCTATAACTTTTATGGTGATGTAGGATTAAGAGCACTGCTGGATGATTTGAATATATAGTTTAAAAAAGGTAGCCTAGTAAACTAGCCCCACCAGCCAGCCGCTGGTGAAAGCACAACAAGGAAGATGGCAACAACTATTGAACAGTTCTCATTTGACTGAGCTTTGGAATCAGTTTTGAAAGGATTAGACTTGGGGTTTTCGTTGAAACGTGAGCAGGAAGAGGCTCTACACTCCTTAATTTTTAGGAAGGATGTATTCGCCGTTTTACCGACAGGCTGTTTGTTTACACTCCCCCACCAGCTTCCTGTCGCGCTTACTACGTGGTCAATAGGCACAGACATGGTTTGGAAAACAACGGGTTGTTCTCATCAACAATCTTCCGATGTCTCATTCATCAGGGCCAGACTAAATGACACATTTAATCTCACATTTAGTCTGGTTTATCAGACTATAAAAAAGGAGTATATGTTGAATGCCTCAGGTATGGACGAAATTAGTTAATTTGTTTCCAGTTTCATTATTTACAGTATTTTCAATACTGTCTCAAAGGAAATAAGATCCAAACCAAAAATCAGCACATTGTGTGACGTCTGAAAATATCAAACCCAGCTGTTGTGAAACAAGAGGAAAATCATGGAGACTTTTCTCTTTGTTTTTGTAATGTTCATTAAATGATTGGAGATGAAAGCCTCAACCAATGCTTCTAAAAATAGTCACTTTTTATATATTTATAATACGGGAGGCTGAGAAAGACTTTACAGTTCCATCGAATGACAATTACAGTGCAGCCTGAGCCCAATGCCTGTCAATCATTACATGCTACTTTCACCCACCAGTAGATGTAAAGACTAATATTTCTGCTACTGGAAAGAAGCCTACAGTAAAACGTAAAATCTCTGATCTTGAGTTTCTGTCAAACCACAACAAAATGACAGTTTTCAAGTTGTTCATTTTCTTTAATTCGCACTTTGTCCCTCTTTTTTCTTTATTTTTCTTTATTTTTTTTTACAGTGGCATAGTTGAAAAATGAATATTCAGTACTGAGAAATAAAACAAACCTCAGACACCCTCCGTAAAAAGCAAAATAATTACAGCAATTAAATCTTTGTACAAAATGACTATTTATAGCCTCATACGGAATCAAGAAAATAACATGTATGAGCATTGGCAATGTGGTTCAGTTTCTTTGATACAATGAATATATACAGTTAGAGGATGTTTGATTCACCAATGCCTCAACATGTCATGTCATGTACTGTTTGCAGCAAACTCAAAGGCCATAACGGTGATCCTTTTAGTATTTTTTATGATAAATTACAGAATTTAAAAAATGGAAAATGTAATGTCAGACAACTACTTCAATTGTTAACAACAATAATACTAATTAATATAGTATCATAATAAATCGGAATCAGTCATAATAATAAATACAGATAGTCAGAATATTTTTTTTTTTTTCAATTTTAGGTAATTCATTAGAATCCCTGTTTGACGAAACCTTAAAAAGAGTGAAAACGCTCATCAAAGTAACAGGAGTGAAATTCATCCCTCTTATGTTTACTTAAATTACCTAGCTGGCTGTGAAAAAGTATTAGTCCCAATTCAGGTTTCAGTCTGTTTTTGGATTGCTAAGATGCTGTTATATTTAAGATCATCATGCAGTTTTCAGAACATAAAATGAAAACTTTTTAGAAGTTTAATTCATTTATAAAAAGACAAATCAATCCAGACCAACTGTATGAAACAAATGTTTGCTCACTAAAGCTAATAAGTGGTTGTGTCAGTCTTAGCAACAATGACTGCCATCAAGCATTTCTGATAGATAACAAAGACTCTTTATCAAAGCTGTAGAGGAACTTCTCGCTCTTGGTTGGTGGGTTTGTTAACATGAACTTTTTTTTATTTTTTACATGAGGCAACAGCATCTCACTCAAAGGTATAGTGGAGGATGTTATTTTTCTGGGTGGATCATCTAAATAAATGGTCTTCCCAATTGTCAATCATTCTGGTGATACATTTACGTAAGGCTGTCTTACATGCTCACCTTAATAGGTATCTTTTTGTGCACATGCGCACTTTCAGGCATATATCTGTGGTGAGCTACTGTACGGTTTCATTCATCATGGTTCTTTAAAAATGGTTGAGGGTTGTAAGAGAAAAGGTGTCTAAGAAGTGTATGAGAAGAAAAGAAAGGCCTCATATCAGAGGCAGATATATCCCACAATGTTTTGTGAAGAGAGCTCTCCTCGCAAAGCATTATGAGATTTGCTGTCACTATTCAACAGCGGCGACTAATAACAAAGATGGCGCCGGCACCACGCAGTGGAGGAGGAGTTGTTTAACCAACAGAGCAAAAAGTAGTGATCATCTGTCCAAATGGTCAGTTAATTGAGTTCACTATAAAGTCCACTATATAGTCCCCTTGCTTTATAGTGATTGAAGGATATAGAGGTTAGGAAGGACGTTTGGGCACAGTGAGCTTGTATGAGTGTGCACAAGGAGAAGTGGGATTGTGCATGCTCTAGCACCTGCATTTTTTAAATGAAGAGGGCAGGTCTTTTAAAAACAATCAAGAAGATCCTCTCCCAAACCTTTAAGTCCATATTTTAACTAATCTAGCCACTACAAGGTGTGATTGCTGTTATATTTCATCATTTGCAGCAAAACCCAGGTAACATTCACAAACTGATAGCTAGATGTTCTGCTATAGGCTACATAGTCCCATCAGCTTCAGTAAGGTATTCTGCTCTGGATGCAGCAAAGCAACCCCATTCCTTTGCACTATAATTACCATGTCTGACTGGGACTTTACTTGTTTTCTGCCACTTATATCAGGAAGCACACTTCACAAAAGTATTTTTTTTTCTTTCTCCACTCAAAGTCTTTTGAATAATAACTGTTTTTCTTTAAGAAATGTGCGATAGACTTCTGTCTCTTGTTTTTTCAACACTGTCTTTTCTGCTATACTGTCTATAGCCACCATTTTTTATAGCTGAATCATAAAATAGATTGACAGAGGTAAGTGTGGCCTGCAGCACTTTATATGTTTTCCTGGGGTCTTTTAAGACTTTCTGGATTAGTTGTAGATTTGCTGTTAAAGTAGTTTTGGTAGAATAGCTCCTCCTGGCAGGTTAATCAATGTTCCATATTTTCTCTGTTTTATGATAATAGCTTTCACGGTGGTTCACCAGTGTCACAAAACCTTAGAAATTGCTTTGTAATTCTTTGCAGACTGATAGATGTTGATAATTCTGAACTTTTATGGAAAAAGGCATAATGTTTGGCTTTGTGGGATCTTAAGCCTACTTTATCTTGTTAGACAGATTCCAGGGCTTTAAAGCTACTTTAGCATATTTCAGGTTGTCTCAGTCTACATTTAAAAATTGTCTGATATGAAACATTTGTCAAGGGAAAGACTTGCAAACCTGAAAAAATCTGTAAGGCCAATACTCTTTCACAGCACTGTAACTCTTGTTTGATAAACGATAAAAAAAAACATCATGAAATATGGAATACATTAAATTATGAATATGCTAATATACAAAACCTAATGTGCCAGGGATCCCAAGATTTAACAATATTCTTCACAAATATTCACGTTAGCAAAGTATTTTACAGCGATATCCACACATTAAGCATAGTTGTTGTTTAATAAAGTTCAACATAAATAATAAAGCCCCACAAAGTCCCACTCATTCAGTTTTGATTTTACATTAAATAGCCAACGAAAAAGACCAAATATTCCTGATCCATTATGATGATCAAAATCTTTTTTACATGTCAGACTCCATCTCTCCATCTAGACTCGTTTTGAATCCTGAGACACAATACAGTTCACATATTTCCTCACTTGTTTTTTTTAGTCCTCAGACTTTGTGCTTTAAATTTCCGACTTTCATAGTATAAAATAACTATATATGGGAAAACTGAAATGAATAAGTTTAAGAGTATGTTAAGAGGAGATGGATCCTTTTTGGACAATCGTGCAGATTGTGCTTTTATGTTTTGTTATATCAAAATGTGTGTCATGTTATGTTATACATTATGGCTGTGTTAAGGTAACATCCAGGTGACATCCAAGACAATTGCTTAATTAAAAAAGGAACATCTTTTTATGGAAATGTTTGATAAACTGATGCATTTCAGCGTTATTTTTTCTTAAAGTAAAACAATTTGAAAAGCCCAACCTTGAATTTCTTAGAATCAAGAGCATCTTTTATCCCTTCTGTGTTCAAAAGTTCTTTTGACAGTTATGTAAGAGAGTGGATAAGTTTGATAACGCAGTCTATGAAAGAAAATGCAGAAAAACATCTCATTTAGGCACAAGAAAACTAAAATCTAATCCAACCTTTACTTTGTATTGATTATAAAAGGAGAAAGCTGTTTTAAAAGTCAAGTTGAACCAAGCATGAGATTCCTGGAAAAAAAGGAGTAAGGATATAAACCCAGACCATGTTGTGACACTGAGGCAGCTTGAAATTGCATGTCTCTTGTTGAACGTGGAAACGAAGAAGAAAGGAGGAAGAGGTCTAAATGAAGTACTCCTTCTTTTCCTCTGCATGCACATGGTTTCCCTCAGCATTGATAATAGCGGTGTCAGCGTCGGGGGCATCCTCTGCTCCTTTGGCCTCGTGCGTTAGATATGTCCCTGTAAATAAATATGCAGCCAAGTCAAAAATTCACAGCCGGAAAAGTTCAAAGCATCTTTTTATTTAATCCAGAGGGAATCGAAGGGACCTGTTTTACCTTTATGTCTAGCCAGGTATCTTCCAAGAACTATTATCAAACACAAGGTTATGAAGACCACAACTGCAACAACACCGCCGATTAAAGCATGGTCAGGTCCATGTTGTCCTAAAGCATTAGGGTCTGAAAGAAAACAATGACAGAAAGCGTAAATTTGGTGGATTACACAGTACTTCAACAGGCTACAGCTTCAGCTAGCTTTCAGTATTTAGGAACCTCATCAATAAATATTTGGCCGTTGTAATTGTGCTAAAAATACTCATAACTAAACTTTAAATAGCTTTTATCATCATATTTTTTAACCAGGCAGCCTAAGAATCTTACAATATTAACCTAAAATATAACTTTTTAGTAATTTTAAAGCTCAGTTTTTTAATGAAACCACAAGAGAACTTTGTGTCGCACACTAGAATAGGAAGACCTTTTATCTAAATAGTTTTGTAGCCAAAATCCCAAATAAAAAATATATATATATTTTAGTGGGAATTTGTCAAATGTGTGGCTTCCTTCTGGCAACACTAAAATGGGATAAAGTAAGCCCTTTTGCTACAGAGAACACGATTTCATGAGGAAGAGGATACATTTCTTCCAACCAATCAAAAACAGTATCTCAGAAGGAAAAATTGAAATTATAATAATAGGACTTTTGTTTAATGAGATGGAAATAATAGCAATGTAATTTTCAAGGAAAAAACAGCATGATGTTAAAGGTAAGGTAAACTTAGTGCAGACAGACCTAACACATTTTAGTGGTCTTTAAAGGGTAAAATATGATGAATAAAACACAGACTTATGTGTAGAGCAGTGAGACTTCCATAAACAGTCCATGACTTTCCAATATGATGCCTGCTATTTTGGTAATACAGCTGCTTAGGAGGATCATGCTGATACACGACTGTGCACCTCAGAGTAACGATGCTGGTAAGAATCAGAAAAGAAAACATTTCTCCAAAAATGCCCCTGCTTTTAATTATTCAATCATGGTCAGGCTGGACTCATGACAGCCCTTTTTAATATCCCTCACTAATGTGTCAGAATTTTCAGTCTCCAAGCTACAGCTCTCTGACAACATTTCCCCTGGCCTTTCCCCCCTCATGGAACAAATCACCGTATAAACCTTCACTTTACTGCCTTCTCCTTTTGCCTTGGGTGGCCATTGGGTTATTGACTGATTGCTGTATTTAAAGTGTCAATGTCAAATATAAATTACAGCCATATATAACACCATTCAACAATAATGAGCTACAGCACACATCTGAGGAAGAAAATTCTTGAAAAAAAAAAAAATGTTGTTGCTTGCAAACAAAATAAGCTCCCAAATGAGCCTCTGCCACAATTTCTGAAGGACCCTGCCTCTGTCGCCACTATTCGATTTTATATTCCTGAACTCTACAAGTAATCACAAATGCAACCTCAAATATCTATAAAAAGCATCAGGGTTTCTTTTTTTTTACTGGGAAAGTTGTTAAAGTGCATCGAGGTCTCTGAGCAGAGGATGAGCATAGATTTTTCAAGCTTCACTATGATGCCCCAGTGTCTGTCCCATTATAAACTGTGAGCGCATGTGTCTTACAGTACACCTCTTGTGTTCTCATTATCTCAACATGATAAATAGCTATGGCTCATGTTCAGCTTTGCAAAGTGACCCTGGAAAATTATAACTAACCTTGTAAACACAAAATATCCAAATTCTTATTTTTTAAGAATAAGGCCTGTGTCATGCTTTTCTTTCAAATCCATGCATTTTAAACAGAACACAGGGACATGTTAACTAACAATGATCACTCTCAAGAGTAACCTGCACATGTTCCAATGTTAATGAGTATAATGATTTGTAACAAATAGCGTAAAGCAAATGTTATGTAATACTTGGTTTCCATTAATGAAAAAAAGCATAATTTAATACTTTCTTAAAAAAAAAAGAAAAAAAAAAAGAAAACTGGAATCAGGAACCAAATGTACCCAAACATGCTGTGCAACAATTCATTCTTTCTTATTTCAATCCAGAACATAAAAGCAAGAATTGAAAAGCAAAATTGAGAACAAGTGCATGAAAATAATTGAATGAAATGTAAGATACCACATTAAGCCACAAAAGAAAACTAAAGAGTGCCGAATCTTCAAAGCAGCTGATGGGACACCACCACTGGTTCAATGGCCTGTTGTACAGAAGTACACTTGTGATTTATTGTGATATAATGTATGTTCACTTACGCTTATGAACCTTATAACAGGATTAATTGGGGTTCTTTAATGGTTTTAGTGCTTTTTGATCAATATTCGACTTAATTCTATTTACCGGTAAAAAAAAAAAAAAGAAAATGCATGCACAAGTTACAGTTTGTGGAAAGTTTTGGTTCTTTTTTTATTCACACATGATGAAATAAACAAACTGTAAAAATAGAGGCCACAAGTACAATGTGAGTCAATGTTTGTTGGTTAGTTGTAAAGATACTAGTTGCATTTTGTATTTATCAGAAGGACTCTGGGATTATTCTGGCTGAATATTTAAGCACCTTTCTTAAAGAAAATAGTGGTGTAATGCATTGATTTTGCTTTCACAAATCCCAATCAGAGGGTTAAAATTAGTGAGGTAAAAAAGATTAATTTCAGCCTGCCTTAACCATTCTGAAACCACTTTTGATGTGTACTGTACTTACATTTATTTTAGTTCTTAAAAATCCAACTGTCAAGCAATAAAACAGAAAGGTTCATTTTTTTGATCGACTGCTTTCTTTGGAAAGGTGTGAAATATATCTAAACACTAGCATAGACCTAACCAGTAGAGTTTTGATCAGACTGGGATGGGTTGCAGTTTGCTTGCAACAAACTCCGGTGCAGATTTAACAAGTTTATATCAAACAATTTCTGATATTACCATATATGCTTTTTGCTTCTGTATTGTTGAAAAAAACAATTTAAATCAGAATGTGGGCACTGAAATAAATTTAGTGGAACATCAAGTCCTGTTATACAGTAGCTTAAAGTTATGTGTTTTGCTTTTGATGTATCCGAGTTGTGAAAAGAAATCCATGATGTAGACTTCACATTATAAGGCTAATTATTAACGAGTAGGTTTTTTTTATTTATTCATTCTATTTATCTATTATTTGTAAAACTTTAATTGTATGCTATTTATAAATTATTTTAATTATATTTTCTAATTAATTGAAACTGGCTGGACTAGGTCTGTTTACATAGAAACCCTGACGTCTGATTGGCTGCCTCTTACTGAGCGATATTAGATGAGTTCTTTCTGGTTTATATATTTTTTTTTTCTAAAGTAAATGTTATTGTTTAAAAAGGCAAAATAACTTAAAAAACATGCTACAAGGTGTGAATGGATGGGCGGATGGATGATCTCTAAAAGTGAATTGAAGGAGAGCCGGTGTTAGTCAGGCGGTGGGGCCTCTGTTGATTTTGCAGCTTAAGCCATACTTAAACATAGTAAGCTCTCATGTAAGTGTTAAAATGATTATTTTTCATTCATATCTGTGCTTGTTAAACCCTAATATTACCAACTGGTTAAGTGTTAAGGTCAATGTTTTCCCAAGCAGTTCATTTAGTTATGATTTGGTCATGATAAAAAGTAATGATCTTCATCACGAAAGTAAAAAGGGTTTGGAAATGAAATGAGAGCATAGAGAAAGAGGTGATAATTCTTAACATAGAAATATCTGATAGTGTGGATTGGATTGTCCTTGATCTAAGGACAGCGTGTATTATATCAATATTGCTATAGGCAGTGATGCTTCATCATTTAGAAACATTGCGCCTAATGAAGAAGCATTCATACAAACAAATTTGTTCTTAAGTCGTTCGTACGAGTGATTTAAGAGAAAATGATGCATTCACCATTTTTCTCCCATTTCTAATAGATTCATTTTTACGAGTGCTCCAGGCTTGACGTAGGTGTCTTGTGCGATCGGTCAGCAGATATCCAAACCTAGTTTACTTAGCAGCAATCGTCCTTTTGAGTAGGCTACATAATTATATATTATGCAACTCTACATTTTTATTCGCTGATGACAGATCTATCAGTCATTACACCTGCAGTTGGCATGTCAGTATCCAGGACACACTGGTTGAATTTGATATTTTGTCAAAAGAAAGAACAATTATTAAGCTCTGTGTGAGATCAAGCTACTATTTAAATAACATATGGAACAGAAAATAGATAGAAAGTTCAGAATCAAGTTCAGCAGCTTGCTGTTTGAAACTCATCCAACAGTAAGACTTGCATTCAATTCCCTTCATCACAGATTCATTGGCTTTGCTATTACAGTAAAAATTGAATGTTTGGGTCTGCATAAATTTGCAAAAATTAGAGTTGTGCCATCAACAGTTTTATGTTTATGCAATGTATGAGAGAGATAGACAGTGCAACAAAGCGATGACAGACATGATCTAGAAATGTACAGTACAGATGTGTGTATATTAAAAGGAGATTTATGTTAGGCATTTACATCCTATGTTAATCTTACCTCTATCATTAGTTTTACCTGACTGTTTTCTCTTGTGATTTACTGTATTACACTGCTTGGCCATCAGCAGAACCGTGATCCCCGCACCAATATCTCTTCTACGTCATCAATGTCATTTTGTGAATGAACATTAATGATTAAATTCTGTTAAACCTGACATTGTGTTTTATAGTCATATAATGTATATACATGGGAAATTGTTATTTAAAGTGATTGTTTGTAGTGATCTTCTTTCAGGAATGAAATCGTAGAGAGAAAGCTTGGTGTAAACACAAACTGGTGTTTCCACCCTGACCTGGAAGTAGTATTACTCACACTGTACTCCCACTGATGAACAGACCACACAGCCTGCATATGCTTACTCAGACAGAGGTGAGAAAATCCTTTATAGATAAATATCTCCAGTTCTTTACTTAAAGCAGTTTGGCTGTTTTGAGGGTTCTGAAGTAAGCTGATGGTTTTATACATTTACAGAAGGAAAAATTGCTTGAAGCTTTTTTCGCGAATATGTAGATTAGATGAAGAAGAAGAGATGAGGGCAGTCATTGTTCACAACGGTTTCCTCTAGAAGGAGAACAGCAGACTAGAGAAGCCGTTACTTTTTAGATCATCTGTTTCAGCTAGCTGAAAGGGACATTGTTTTATTCCTCTTTGCCTGCAGAAATGAAAGTGGGCTTCCTGAAATAGAGAGAGATGCACACCTGGCTTTGGAGATAGGGACCAGTTATTCCTTAAGAGTTCATGAAAAATTCCATGCCGGGGGGAGTATTGAGTTTAGAGGCACTTTTATGCTTAATAAAAGGTTCTGAAAGTGGCCTATTTCCTAAAAAAGAAAGAGAAAATAGGCCGACATTTCTAGTTTGAACATTTCCAGATTTCTCCTTAAGAGAAAATGAAAGATGTGCAGAAGAAGAATTATGGGTGTTTCCAGAGAAAAAGAATAATGGAGCCTAGGCAGAAGTTCAACTGAAGAAACTCAATGCTTTCCTTCATCCACCTGCGGCACAGCCAATCAGCTTTGAACCACACCTCCATGAAAGCCAATTGGCATCCAAAGTTCATCTTAAAAGGCCTCTGAAACGCACCCGTCTGCTCCTGTGCACTGGGGGCAGATGGCTGTGTGACTTCATTCAGATGACACAGTTTCAACCCATCTCCACCCCTCCTCCACCATCGTAGCTAAAGCTTCATCAGAGCATCATTTCACCTGGACTCTTACTGCGTTCCCTGTCTCATCTTAGCCGGTCCAGCAGAAGACAGCCATGTTGAGCCTGTTTCTGCCAGAGGTTTCTACCCAACGGGGAGTTTTTCCTCTCCACTATCGCTCCATGCTTGCTCATCATGGACAGGTTCTCTCAACCTGTGTTATCCAACTGGACTTCCATCTTCCAGGTCCCTGAGTGAAGCTCTAGTATCAGCTCATGCAGTCCACTGGATCTCCCCATAAAGCTCAGCATACTCTCTCACTAACCAGCAGTCTACAGAATGACCGACTTCATCTATCTCCACTCCACCACCAGTTTCAGGCCTGGGGGGAAACAGTCCTATTCTTTGCTCCTGTTCATGCATATCTATCAAAATGAAGCGCTATGTTTCCTGCCGAGGTCTGAGCGCCAAAGAAAATCAATAAATTTCTCCTAATTGTCTCTTCATGTGAGTTTTTCAGATGGAAAAATAGTTGCGTGACATGTCTGTCTATTTGTGTACATTTGTGGAGTTGCCATTTTTAATGATTTGTGTGTAATTACAGTGAGTTAACTAGAACAATAATGGGGACATGTTTTTGATTGATGGAGTGGGTTACAGCTTTGTTGATACCAGATGTGGTGAGGAAATCATCATTTTTCTCTTTAAATTATGTCTATTTTACTATTGAGATCGATCAAAATTTTTATTTATGGGTTGAACAAACTTGTGGCTAATGTCTGTCTGGCCTATAAATGGAAGGCATGTGATGTTTAATGATTAATTTAGATATGTTGCAAGGTGAAAATGACTGAAATTGTCTCCTGATCTGACATTGAGTTTTTCACAGACTCTGGAAGGAGCTCAGAGGAATTAATGGAAAGGTAAAAACATGTTTGAGGGAATATCTTAAGTCCAATATTATATATGAAAACATCACCCTCCTTATGTGGACTATTGAAATGAAGCTTAGAACCTGAAGTTTAAACAGTCAAGAGTGACACAGGTTGGTACTTTTTCACAGTAAATAATCCCAGAAAGAGACATTATATAATTTTGATTAAAGGTAGTTTTATCTTTTCATTATTTATTTCAAGAATTCAAATTTCATATGGATAGGGCCATAATACTATACGGAGCTCAGCAGATTGTCTGGTCGCAATTTTTATAAGCAGCGCCGGTTCAGTTTTTATCTATTTGCATGTTCTATCTGTGCATTTGAAGCTGGCACAACAGCACAATAGCTTTTATAACGTATGTGTATTAGATCTATTTCAGACCAAATTATAGATCCAGAGGCTGGAATTACTTACCAAATGTGCTGTATGTAAACTGTAACATGTTTTGAAAGTTATGTCTGCTTCTTTCAGTGATAATGTTGATTTTAGAGTAAAAGAAACCTCAAGAAGAAGTTGTTTAATATTGTTTAGTCAGAAGAAGCCTACTGTACCAGAAGTCACGGTTTCTATTGAAGGGGGCCTAGTCCCACTTCCTTTACTTTGTTGGGTGTGGGACAGTTGAAATGAATGTATAGTATGCTTCAGTGCAGAAACTATGAAATAATTCATTAAGCCTTGAAATTATTATATTAATTTCTTAAAATGAATTAAATATATTTAATTGAGGCCCATCTAAATAACTATTCTGTATTTATTTCCAGTTTAAATAAATTAATGTCATATTCAAATATTTGTTCATACGTTATTTATTTGACCAAACAAAGACTTCTGGCTTGTCTTTGTGTGCAGCAGGTTTTAATCACACTTGAAGATTACAATTATGTTGCAGGAGCTTTTTTTTTGGATTTTCCAAAATTATTATTCCAGCAATTTCAAATTCTAAGATGGACCAGCCTTGGTAGCTCCTGGGCTGTTGCTGAACACCCTCAGAGTAGCCTGAGAATGAAAATTTGGATCAGTTGCTTAAAACCTGCAAACAATCTGGCATACCAACAGGACAGTGATTCCAAACATATTAGAACTGGTTCTGGATCAGCAGGCTTACTTTAATCATTCTTAATCCCAGACATCAACACTTCTGTTAAACTTGGGGAATATGTTTAAAACATTAGTCTAGGTTAATATAATAATTTTGCCTTGAAAAATGCAAAAAAAAATCCAATGATAAGTATTCCTAAAACATATAGAGATTATGAATCAGAGTATATGTAATTCACCCAGCATGTAGATTCTTAATATAGGGGCAAGTTTGAGCTTGACAAAATTTACCAAAACCTATCATACAATAATAATAATATGTATAAATTTCCACTCTTACTGTAATATACTGTATTATTTAATGTCCAAAAATAATAAGACATTCATTCCACTGATAAGTAAAAGTAAATTTAAAAAAATAATCAGATTTCTATGCTAAATGTTTATCTAATTTTAAGATTTTAATATTACAGTTATGTATTTCAAGTAACTGGATATATAAAACAACCTTCAAAGGCATTCCTAAAAGTATGAAAAATCAAGTGTTAACATGGGAATAGTGTTGAGAAATTCCCTTTGTAAATTGGTATTAATGTTCTATTTGATTTTTTTTAGTTAACTTGTCTATAGAGCTCACTCATTTTGTTATTAAAAAACACATTTTCAAAGCGTTTCCTTTAATTGCTGCCTTTCATGATGTTACTTAGCAACGGAAATTATAGAGCTATTACATTTCTTGAAGTACTTTTCATAGCACTCCATTGATAATACAGTTTGGTTTATTGCATCACTTTATGTATTGAGCACTGAGCAAGCAGTACTAATGTGACAGACTGAGGTGGTGTTGAGAATTTCTTGGCGTCGTTGGAACATGAGCACCATTCCATCTGAGGACAGTGAGTCACTGCTGTTGATTTGGCATATGCCACTAAATTCCATTCTAGAGTCGTGGATGATCACAAAAGAGTCGACATATGCTGTTACAGCAGGAGTGGCATGCCACCAGCCACTTTTGTTTCAATGCATCTCTTAGAAAACTCCTTGGTTTAGCAGCCCTTGAAGAAATCAGCAATTCACCTTGCAATATTTTTATTAATTTGATATAAAATGACATTGCGAAAACATGAAATGAGAATCTTTTTTGAACCCTTTTTCTTACTAATTTTATATTAACAGATGTTTGTGAAGTTTGAATCTTTAGCAATAATATTGAATAGGAACAACCAGGAAATATCATATCAAATATTATATTGTAAAAACCATATAATATATTCCATTATATGGTTCCACACACACACACACACACACATATATATATATATATATATATATATATATATATATATATATATATATATATATATATATATATATATATATATATATATATATATATATTTTTTTTTTTTATTATTATTATTTATTTTTTCAAATCAACAGATATATTCGTAAATTTTATTTCTACTTTAGTACTGTCATTAACATATTAGATGATAGTGCTACAAAAACTACAATTTTCTGTGTTTTACTCTCTCAGATACAATTAGTATGAAAAAGGCAAACCAAAATAGCAACATGTTGTGTTTCAACTTATGCAGTCCGTGGCATGAAAGGAGAGAAAACGTCTAGTGTCAGCAGAGCGAGCATCCATGCATGTTGATGATTTGGCTCATGCAGGGTGAGGCCATGATGTGTCCTGACCCAGAGCCAGTTCCAGCATCACACACACTAATTCTGGCTTGCAATGATCATCCACTGGGATATTTACCTGTTGTAGGGCCTGGAAAATCTTTGGCTGTTGCCATGGTTGTAGACAGTGACAGCAGTAGGGAAGATGTAGGGAACAACACCATGATATAAAAGGTGACCACAGGTTTCAAAGCAAAGCATAATAGCTCAGTATGATCTTGGTTTTGTTTAATAGAGTGCAGAAGTGACAGAGAGGAAAGCTTGCATTCATGCTGAGCTAGATTGCGGAAAAACGTATTCACTAGGTGAGCAACAAAAAAAAAAAAAAAATGCTTTATATATAAAGCATAAAGTCCATACTTAAAAACTAATATTTCCTAAGTTAGCTTTGAATAATAGGTCCAACATGCCCTTTTTTCTTATTTACTTGATGGCACTCCAGAGGCCTGTATAAACTCCATGCAGAACACGACATTTATTTGCCCACTTGACAGGAATAAAGTTTGCTTTGGACATCTCAAACTTGTTGGAAAACACATTTGGAGGCCACTTTGGAAGTCCAATCTAGCCATTTACCAGACCCAAAATGTTCTACTGAAACACACAATGGCTGTCATACAATACATGTGTAAAAATAACTGCCAAGACAAGATGGTGTGTGCAGAAAAAGCTCTCATAAACATGGGCTAACTGTTTTCTGTTTTTTCATTATTGCAGTTCTTGGAGCAAGGTTACATTTCTCAGTCCTCAGTTAACTTTCTTAAAAAACTTACTTTTATTTAATCCTAATGCTGGGTTTATACTATTAGAACAGAAGTGTTTTAGTTTTAGATAAACTATCTACCTAATATACTGACCCTGTGGGTTGAAAAAGAAACTGAAGGAAACTAAAAGACCCTTAATGTGCCATTTGAAACTACACGATCACTTGTTATAAAATTACTTCTGAAAATAAGAAGTTGTAAATGGTAAAATGTTAATGGCTTTATTTCACACTAGCGAATCTTTTTTCTTTTTTCACACAATATACCATTAGCTTGCTACAGAAAAGCTGGTTTCACAATCTAGTGCTGGGTATGTTGAAAGTTCAAACTTTTGGCAGAGGATCAGTTATACAGTGACTAAGAATTTATACAGTGTTATAAAAATTCAGATATTTGGTAGACTGTATGAGTCTATGTGATTTTTTTAAATTTGATATTTTCTTTACAGTTATGAATAAAATAATTAAAAATAAATTCTAGCTTACATCTAAACTTTTTGGCCTATACAGCAGAGTGGGTTTTTGCACAGTTGCCTCCCTATTCATACATATATAATATCAAACCTATAACCACACCTTGCTGTGTTAAAACAAAACACAACAAGGTTAGGAAATAGGGACTAATTGTGTTGTTTTTAACCAAGCAGCTTTTCAAGTGTATGTAATATATTTGAAAGATCAAAAAGCTTTAAAAAAATATACACATTATATTTATCATAAATTCTGACATTTCTTAGTTATAAGATTATACAGAGCATTTGGTAGCTTTTTTAAGTTTTCAGCTAAATGAAAAAAGCAAAAATAAAAAGCTAAAAGAGATTTTGGATATTTCTTTTGTAATAGCCTTAAGCAGGCTCTCCTCCAGTTTAGGTTTCATAGTCATAAGTGTCCTGGCACCACTCGACCTGAAATCTTTTCAACACTCTATTTCTCAAACTTCTCCTTTATAAGGCAAGGGTTTGAAGATGGCATTCATTGCTGGTTCTCTTTTCTTCAGTTAGTTGAGCTCACACAATGTACAGTAAGTTAATCATTACATTTATTATTCTGAAAAGTAGTCAGTTAATGAGTAGCCAGATTTCCTTTTCTCCTGCTGTTCATTAGGAAGTCTATGGAGCACTTGTCAAGCTGTATCCATATACCAAACACCTAACTACAAGGTATTAAAAAAAAGTATTGAATTAACTTGATATTCACATGTAAAAACTGGGTACTTATTTTTCTGTAAATTGCCTTGAGATATTTAAGTTTCCACTATAAAGATAAACTGAACAGAGCTAAATTACTCTTAGGATTGAGTGATGCCCATCATAGCTAAGAATGTCACCATAAATTTTAAAACAAATCTTTGCTCTCTACATTTTGATTTAGTTTGGTTTCTACATCCTAATTTTATATCTTGTTATTACATCTTGCTCTTGGTTACCTTACTTTATCGTCAATTTAGAGATTAAGAAACAATTTTTTAAATCTTTGCCAACATCACTCTCTGTCTGATTGATACTCACATATTGCTCCTGCCATATTAGCCACAGTCTGTAATTAATTTTCTAATATATTCAATTAAAAAGCCCAAAAGATTATTGGGGCACAGCATACTATAGTTTCACCAAATTAAATACAAAAACCTAGAAGAAATCTTACGCCAATTAGACTTTTCTTCCTGTTGTCTCAATTTTTTACATTTCAATCTTTCTTAAAAAAGGATTTGCATGTCATAATGTCTGATTTAACTTAATTTAACTACGGAACTATACAAGCTTATCTCTAACCTCTTCATCAGTAAGGTTATTGACAAAGCCTGGCTTCAGCATTTAAACACCTTCCTACCAACGATCATCTGCTTTAACATCTTCTAGCTATGCCTATATGCTCAGCAAAGTACAGAGATTGCTCTTGTCAGGTAGTTCAATGAAATCTGTATAAATATGTACTCTATTAGACTGCCTGGAAAACTGGGGTGGCTGTTCTGGTTAGAGAACAACCACTGGTCAGGATTAATTCCACTTAAAAGACAGGGATTGTTTTAAGTGTCAGTAGGTAAATTAAATAAGAAACAACAAAATTCACATGTGGCATTCCCTTGGTATCCATATTAGAGCCTCTCCTGTATATGCACCCCCTTGTTCAAATAGCTTATAATAAAGGTATAAAAAAGGTTTTTAGTTGAATTTTAACTTAAGTGACTTATTAACTTTTTGAAGAAAGAATATTTAGAAGCACGTACAAAGTTTAAGTTATTACATCTTGAAACCACCAGTCAGGCTTATAATATGGGAGTGGGCACAGAGGCACACAAAGACAGCAGCAAAGTTGGCCTACTGTAACCTAAAAAAAACATTTCCATGATTAAAGAACTAATATCAGGGTGTCTCCACAGGTCTTTCTAACAAGTCTGTCATACAGCAGCAGCTGATCAAGAATGCTGCTGCCCACATCCTCACTAAAACAAAGTGGAGCACATCAACCCTGTTCTAAAGTCTTTACACTGACTCCCTCTTGGTCAGATCATGACTGAAATGCTTCTATTAGTCTGTAAATCACTTAATAGCTTAGCACCAAATTATATTACAGACTTGTCTTTGTATCAGCTGCTAAGACCCCCAGGTCTTCTGTCTCAAACCTACTGCTTTTAGTTTTAACCCCATTCTAACTGGAAAAAGAATCCCAGAATAATGTAAAAGTGCTGAAACCCTAAGTTGCTTTTAGTTGAGATTAAAAACCTGATTATTTAGAGTATCTTTTGACTGTGTTACCTTAATATGATTATTTTTACTATGTAGTTAAACTTTCTTTACCTGCATTATAGTCTTATCATTATGCACTTTATTATATTTTCTTTTGATACAAATGACATAAATGTAATTACAAATTTGTATTCACTTTATTATCTTTTTATCAATTATCTAACTGCATTTAATTCCAAGTTAATAATAACATAATATTGTTTTAATTTTTTCTCTCCAGCTATGAAACTGCAATGCTTTCAATAAGTGAGAAGTCTTTAGCCAACATAACTTAAACATTTTTAAGCAGAGTCCTAAACTTACATTAAAGACAAAAAAAAGTCTAAATGATGAAGATGCAACAGTTTTCACTGGGGAGCAAAATATTAATTAACTATCAACCCCCATTTTTACAGACATGGAAAAGTTCTAAAGAAAGATATCCCTTTATTATCCAAAGTTGACAACAGTAAAGATTTAAAGGTTTTACTGTATGTACATATTGGCCACTGAGTAATTACTTTGAAGGAATAATGTGATGTAAGCAGATTGCAAGGATATCCCCTTCTCCCCAGGGAGAAACATTTAAAAATGTCCTAGGCTCAAAACCTTTGTTTACAGTTTACTATAATAATTAAATGATCATATAAATTAACTTGCCTTTTCTTACCTAAACAATTATTGTGTTATTTTAATATTCCTTCTCTTGTAATCATTTATCACATACATTTTTTATATTTATTGCCTTTAATACTGTTCTTTTTCCTTCACGTTCTTTGTCACTGCAATGTGTGATTTTCAATGTGTTTTCCTATTTCTTTTTCATGTGCAACACTTTAAATTATTTTGCTACAGAAATGTGCTGTAGAAATAAACTTGCCTTGCTTTGCTAAAATACATTTCATAGTCTCTGCTATTCAAAGCAAGAGCATAGATTTATCAGGATCATTTTCTGATAAATCTATGTTCAATCAGTGCTTGAGGCTCAGTACCTGCATGTTACTTTTGTTCCTGTGTGTGTGTATGCTGCACATGTTCTAATTCAAATGTCTACTCATCATTGTCTCTGTGATACATGGAGATAGAGCTCTGATTTTGTGCAGAGGAAGTGTATGTTAACAGCTTGACCAAAATAGCTATTAGTGAAACTTACTGTCCACACTCTTCAGCTGCAGCCCTAGATGGGTCACTAGCATGTCAATTAAGTCTTTATGGTAGATTTTTTTTTTATAGGTAAAAATTGTGTTTATTATTTTGCCTTTTTCTAAATTCTGTATTCTCTGAAAACATAGAATGGTGTTGCTTTTTCTTGTACACCTACAGCATATTGGTAATTTTGAAAATGTTCCGCACACTTCAACTAAATAGGGAAGTGTATTTTATTGTGATTTAGAGTGTCAGACCATGAAAAAGAACAGGTTTAAGGTGGCAAGAAAAGGGATACATTTTTCAAAAGTCTTTATTTAGGGAAATACCTACAAAGTGTTGCATGCATTTGTATTCAGTCCCAGAGCCATTATGTTAAAATACCTTATAGCACAAATATCCCTACTGTCATAGATCTTAATTGGGTTGAGGAATGAATTTTAAGTCATATTCTTTCTGTTTATTATACTT